AGTGTCAAGTAAAAATACATTACTTTAAAAATGTACACTTTATCACCTTTAAACAATAATACTTTGTCCCTAAAAGCATTGTTATTTCTGTAATTAGCGTTATTTAAAATATAAAAAATATGTTAGACCTCAAAATTGAATATCGTATTCGCTGCTGGTGGATTGCAATATGTGGTAAAATAAGGCCATCTAGATCTGCCAGTAGACCAAGTGCAGTGCAAGGGGTTAAAAAAACCTGCACCGATTGGTCTGCTTGACCCCTCGGGCTGTTGATGCCGATCAAAAAGGCCTTGGAAAGGACAATCTTCAATGGGGAGTCGGTAATATATCCATCTGCAATTTATAAAATTAAGGCATTAAAAATTAAATCATGGTTGTATGTAAAATAGCCTTGTCAAAGTTGACACGCTATAAGATCAATTGGAACATATTTATATCTCACACCTAACGTATGAAAAAGTGATGTTGTAAACCTAATACAAATAACCTTCACGTAATCGATCAATAACCAATAGATCCCATCAAGACTTAAATATAACGTTAATAACTAACTATAATTTGTTATAAGCAAGGCTTGGATTTATATATAATAAAATAAATTGAAATATACCAGATGCCTTAAAAAATATGATGTATAATATACCATCAAAAGAAGCTACAATATAAAATCAATTAGAGAAAGAAAGTAATTAACTTAAAATAAATACATTATTTTTGTTTTATTTCACAATAAATGATTTCTCAGTTCACTTTTTCATAATTACGATTTTCATAATATTTTAAAAATTATTTCAACTTGAAATATCGAGTACCAAAAGTAGGGTCTGGATTTATTTATTTTTTAGGATTTATTTGATTTATATATCACTTTAACTAAATGATAATCTTATTACAAAAACAATGCAAACATGTTTTTCTGATGAGAACTTATTCCATTTTTCCACATTATAATAACCCTATAATGGATGCGTTATTTCAACGCTTATCATCTTAAATACATAACACGTATTAAAATACATAGTTACTTTGAGGAACATAATAAAAATACATTTTTTATAGTTTTAATTATCAAGAAGAAAATAAATAAAACTATAATAAATAAATGAAAAGTTACTAAAACAGAAAAAACAAATAACTTATAAATAAAACTAAACAAATAAATAACAATGTTAAGAGAACTTGTTGTTTTTCTTTAAACAAAAAATAGTTTGGTTCAGCAATAATGGTACTGTTAATTAAATTAAATAACGGCGTTTCTCATATTTTTTTGAAATGTCTCTAAACACATCTTATTGTAATTGTAGATGAGTCAAAGAATGGAAAATGTTTTCAGCTGTTTTCCCCACAATTGTCCGTTTTTCCGAGAATTAGTATATTTCCGTATTGTTCTCATTCGAAATAAAGGTTCTCCGTACTTCGAAGTCTATATCCATTAATGGGCAATTTACAAGGAACTACTTTTATTTCAGTTAGCACATAATTTTATCATTTTGATTGTTAAAAGCGATGAATATAATTAACATCTTGTCTAATATTTATTGGCATAAAAATTAAGATATAATTTTATTAATTAAACGGTTTTTTAAACCTTAAGTTAAGTAAATTAATCGAAATATGCATAATACATGCCTTTTGTGTCTAAATATACACAATAATCAATCCTATAGAATCAAGAATCGAGTATTAACGAAGCAATATGGTTGTGAAAATCGAAAGAAAGAAACAAAAATGAACTTCTACGATTCTGTTCTTGAATTCGATTAATCTTCCTTGATAAATATCATTTAAACTGTGATCAAAATTTGTCTTTTTCCAAAATTAATATCTTGAAATTTTATTTATATCATTTCAAAAATGAACATTATGGGTCTTAATAAGAAGACCGATGATGAAGAGAAAAATGAAAACTGAATAGTTACTTCTAAGAACATACAATTACGATTTATCAATCCTTTATTCTACCGATTGTAATTCCAGTTAAATATTTTAAACAGCGAATACAATATCCTCAAACATTCATAAAAATACATATTAGTGTGGAAATTAAAACATCCTCGTTGTTTGGGCTGAATTGATAATGATAAGAGTGGTGATTTTCAGATTCAATAGAAAGCATTTGCTATATGTAGCAAAAATATACAAGTTTATAAGTTCCACTCCTTTCTTAAGTGGTTGAAAGCACTTATTTAAAATTGTTTGTTTTGTCTTTTTTTTCGGAGGAAGGGATAAAAGTGAATCTGCTTCAGGCTCCAAATTTTCTAGATACTGGTACAAGCAACTATTAAATTATAGAGGAAAGATATGGTCCGGGGTGGCGATCACAAAGAGACTAAAATAGTGAGAAAATTATTTTATTTTTCTATATTTGTTTTCCACTATTTTAGTATCTATATGACAACCAACCCCCGAATCACCAAAGGAATATCTACTTCTTCTTACAAAACGCATTAAAATTTGCTTAGACCTCGCCTCCATTAACCTTTATGGTTTTTCTACGTCCTATAACAAAAATTATAGCTTTTCGTGACTCCCTTCCCCCAAAAGAAAAAAAAATTGCAACACAACGCCTATGATTATTAATCCATTTAGTCCTAAACAGATTGTTGACCACAAGGCGCTGGTTAGGGAATAATAATATTGAAGTATATATTCTTAATGATGGTTATGTTAAAATAGACTCATCAATATTTCCTTCATTTATCTATTCATTATATCCTCGATCTGACGTTCTTCTCCACGTGATATAAAGTTGTAAAACCATTTTCATTGAATTGTGAAAGATTATAGAAGATCGGGCACTTAGTTTGATGCCTTCATCTCGCATATTACGGAAATAAGTATTTAAGAATTAGTCGACAAAACCTTGTCATAAACCTCAATTTAATTTGTCTTGTTATATTAATGCATTTTTTATTTTGAATGGTGTATATCAACTCCACATTTTTTTTACTATAAGTTGAAAACTTTTTTGTCAACTGCAGAAAAATATCGCTATGTACTGTTCAATATTTGGTCATTTTAAGATAGGAGTCAATACGATTTGGTATTAATATGTTTCAGAAAGTTAGTATAACGTATAAAAAATAAGAATTTTATTTTATCTTTTTCATATAACTACTTTTCAATAATGATATGTCATTTTATGATTTTATTAACATACACGAATATAAATTTAGGGACCAGTGTAAACAAACAATTGCTAATAGCAGTAGGATTTTTCTTTTTGATTAAAAAATCTGTCTGGCTAAATGCTGTTCCAAAAATAATTTTTCTAGAGCGTCAAAAATTGGTACCCTGGATTCGGAATCTGTTGCAGAACCAAGGTGAGTTGTAATGTATATTAACTTCACGATTTGATTTATTATAATTAAATATTTCGAAACTTAAAGGTTAAGTGTTAAGTGATTTTTAATTTTAATTCAATCCAATAACAAGGTAGACACTTCCATCGTCTGTCTTAAGCTGTCTAAACTAAATTTAACATTATTTCTGAAGAAATAATTTATTTATTTTTTACCCTTCATGATTAACACTCATAATACATTAAATTATTATCTAAATAGAAAATTCAAATGTTTAACATGTAAAATCTCGGCTAATATTAAAGAATTCTGAAATAAATGACAATTTCTTTACTCAACGAACCAATTTCCGATTTTTTTTTTTTTTTCAATGAAATCTACGACGTTTTATTAGATCAATGTGTTATGTTTCAGGAATTTTAATTTGTTCAAGTGAAATCAATTACCTTCCCCTTAGGTTAGCCACAAAAAAATATTTAAGCCCTTACTTCTGTTGGGATAAAAATTAGGTTAGAAGGCAAAGGTTAAGTACAACTTGTGCTATTGCTAATTAACAATTATTAATTAAAACATATTGTTAAACAAATTTGTGTAATGATTTGATGCAATATTTAAATAAGGGTGGTCTGTTTCTCTTGTTCTTCATTTTCCAGATATTTACTGTTTTCTATTTTTAGTAAAATACAATCTCTAATATTTTTAGATCGAATCCACCTTTAATATTTTGCAACAAATCAATTACATTGAGAAAAAAGAAACCATATATCTGGATGACAAAAATTTGACAATGGTGATAGGGCATAATTGCGTTATAAGATGAAAAGAATTAATGTTTAAATTTTTATCTACAGATTAAAATGTAGATTTCTCAGAAACTACTTTCTAGGAAAGGGTTTTACAACTAATGGAGTATTCCCAACAATCTAAGTATTGGCTTAATAGAAGTGAATATATTTATTTTGAGATAATTTTTTATTTCAAAAAGAAGTAAATGTAATTAATTTTATATCTTGAAAAGGCCAATTAATTAAAATTATTTTTAAAAAATACTATACTAAAATATCACATTCAATACAACAGGTAGCCTAGCTAAACTGATTGGCTGAGAGATTTTGGAAACTGATGATTGTAATTGTTGCGAGATATTTAATTTTATGTACTGTAAATGACAATAAAAATTTAATTAACAAATTATTGGGACTTTTAGTTGCTGAATGCAAACATGGACATTTTTTATTTTAGACATTCTAGAAAAGAAACATTTTTACTGCATTACTTCATGTATCAAAATAAACTTTATTAATATTATATATATATATATTACAAAAAAAAATAAAAATAATGTAAAAATCCAATTCACTTCTCCTAGAAGACTGTTCATTTTGTATCTATTTATTTTTTACTTAATAAAACAACATTGTAAAACAAAATTATTTAAATAATTGAAAATTAATTCAAGGATGTAGATAGTGAAAATTGATAATAATAAAAGATGATGGTCATATCTAAACTCATTTTTTAGTAATTCAGCATAAAAATTTAAATTGTTAACTGAAGTGCCTTCCATTCATTGTTGTTCCACTATTTTCATAACTACGTTTAGGATAAAAATGTCAACTCATTAATATTAAAATATTTTATTACATATATATAAAAAGTAACAGTTCTTTGTACATAATATATAAAATATATAAAACTCTCCTTAGTATAAATCAAATATAAAAACAAACACATTAATACTAAGTGGATGGAATTAATTTCTATACACAAGTAGTGTTTACAGATCTTAATAGAAATGATAATAACAGTCTGAAAAAACTGGACGGATGAAATCTAATATTAACAATTAACTAAAATTACCTAATAATAATCTAATATTTTCAAAAAATAAAATAAAATGATAATATAAATTATACATATTTTACAGTTCAGTTATTAACAATGGTATAGTACGGTTCAGCAGGGACTTTGTTTTGTAGTGACAAACCTCCAAGAAGTACAGTCAAATTAAAAAGTCCATCACTTCTCGTAATATATAATAAAAAATTAATCCATTACTTTACAATAATGTCATGTTATTATAATGACAGTTAACTGCTGATGGGAATGAAAAATTACTTTAGTGTATTCCTCAAAAGTGTTATTTAATTTATGTGAATACTATCAATTATTAACAAGAGAAAATAATAAATAAATTTAGGTGAATATAATTTTACTATTAATGTCAGTAAGAGTAATTATTTGTTGGTTTTTTAATACAAAATAAGAAGCTGCAGAACTGTCAGTATCAATAATGTTTAATATTTGTACGAAAATTCCTTATTCCCTAAAAATCATAAGTGCACATAAAAAAATAATCTCTAAATATTCTTTTATCAAACAAATAATTGAAGCTATATAAAAAAAAAAAATTACTTTCATTCATTATTTATAATAAATATGTGAACAGATCAATTTGTGCAGGTTAATATATACTATATCATATCATAATACAATAAGATACCTTAAATCAAAATTCTTTAAGTTAGCAAAGATCTAATGAAATTTATTCAATACAATTAAATGCCAAACATAAATTACCTAATTTTTCAATTATCGAAATCCAAAATTTTGATTGACTTTAAAATAATTTTGATCTCGATTAACAAACAAGTATTGCACGAGATGATAAGATGATAGAGAGTATTACACATTGATTGCTATTAATTTAGTAGCCTAGCTACAATAAACAGAACAACCAATACGAGGAAGCTCACTCTGGTATCAGCTGCACCCGCTACTCTACATTTGAACATGTCATACCTGCAAAATATCGATCGAAATTAGACAAATCATTAACAAACAAAAAAAAAATATTGCTGTGGCATATTAATTATACCATATGTGAAAATGTAAATAAATTAAATAAACAATTCATAGCTTTGATACAAAAATCATTTCTTCTAATATAACTCATCTATAAGTATAATTCTTAAAGGAGACCCTACTTTTGATGTGCCTACATCCTCTTTTTATTGAAATAATAATCAAATTAGTAAATACATTTGAAAGATAGAAAAGTTTGCCTCAACCTAATTTTATAAACTGCTAAATATAATGAAAAATACAAAATTAATACAAAGAATCTCTGCAATTAACAATGATATAAAGAGAGTATATCAAGAACTTTAAAATAACTTTTAATTGGATTAAATTTAATAATGAAATGATTTACATGTTTTAAAAGACTATTTTTGTAAAACATAAATGAAATGAAATCACTAACAAAGTTAGATTTTTATTTTCTATAGATTTAGTAAGAGCAAATAATTAGTTGTTTAAAAATTTTAAACAATTCCTTTAATTAAAATAATTTTTTTTTAGGTATATAATAAATGCAAATATTTCGAGTAAAATAGGAATAACAAATTAGTTTAAAGTCCAGGGTGAAAAACTTGTTCAATGAGGACAGGATACAAAAGGGAAGGGGAAAAAATGGGGAAGAGATAGCAATGAGGGGTGCAAAGGGGTGCGGGTAGAGGGGGAAACTGGTTGAACAGAGGGGTGGGGGTCATAGACAAGGGAGAGGTGGTAGTCACCTAGTGGCGTTGTTGACGACAAGATTGAGGAACTCAGCTTCCACAAGCTGACCATCATAATAAGTGATGAGATCCTCAAAGGGGTATTCGTAGCCCTGGAGACACTCACACTTGTAGCCTCCTGCGTCGAAACCTCGGCCTAGGATTGGCACACACTGGAAAACAGAACATCAGTAGTACTAAATTTATGTATATAGTGATATTCATGTGTGATGGTTATGTTTTACGAAGCGTGTAATGGACGTTGGCCTACGGAGTGACCCAAAGAGCCCTTCAAAAGAACCTATCTCTGGATACTTTTCTATTTACAACTTCAAATTACGGTAAGCTTTATATTTTCATATAGTTTCAAAAGTGGTCTTAGGATTCCTTTTCCATCAAAATATTCTGTCAGTCAAAGATTAAATAAGATTTTACTTCATTGAAGATAGGTAAAACACAGTTCACAGATTAATATTCAGCAAGTTTGAACCATAAATATCACTTCAAAACATCTTTAGCGTGCTCAGTAAACTTAGAAAAAGTGATTAAAATAAAAACTTAACAGAAATCAAATAACAAGTCATTTGCTTGAATTTATTTAATTGAATTAAATAGTTTTAATTTTAGCCAGATAGATACATGCGTATACTTTTTTAAACTAAGAATATATTCAACTCACGTAAGATGATTTTTTATCGCATTTATGTGTATCTTTAAAGGCATTTGGGACATAATAATGGTCAGGACACTGGTTTATATCCAGCTGAAGTAAATCCATATTAACTGCGACAACACCCCTAAAACATAAAAAAAAAAATAATATAAAATAGACTTAAACATAAATGAAATATAATCAATAAAATATGTGAAAAATTTCTTACTTAAATTCTAATTTCACTTTTAAACTATCCCAACCGAAAAATGGTACAGCATAAGTTATAAGCCATTTTTTTACTTTTCCTTTACAGTCGAAATAAGGATTGGTCCAGTAACCATCCGTCAACTTGGCAGCCCTAAAATTTATTAATATTCCATTATTAATAATTATAAATAATATTAATAATCTGTAATAAAATAAGATGATATAAGCCACCTATAAAAATTAGGATATTGCTCAAACTTTTTGGAATGTAATCCAGTTTCGTTAAATCTTATCTTCATTTTCATAAAATATTTTTCCAAAGAATCAAAATTGGTTGACCATCTTTCTTTTAAAAACTGAAACCATTGGGCATTTGTGTAAACTTCCTCTAAAAAAAAATTGAACTCATATTTTAGTATATAATAATATAACGTTATTATAAGAAATAATAAAGAGAAAAGTTATTCTTTAAAGAACTTCTCCAAATTATCTCAAGTAATCCTACCAGTATTATTCAAGCGGGCAAGGTCTTCTAATTTAAACTTTCTTGATGCAAATGGCTTTTTATAGGCGTAAGGAGCAAATAATGTACGGTTGGTGAACTTATTCCGATCCCAGTAAGTACCAGCAGACCAAATTTTACTATCACCAATAACGAGAGCTAATGTTTCTCCCATCATTTGGTCTTCAGACAAAGGTCGGTCAGCAACTCTTTTTCCAGAAAATACTTCTTTAGGGTCAGAAATCTAATTTAAAAAAAAAATTGTTTTTGATAAAGTATATATTAATATAAAGAACAATATTAGTTGAAAAATATAGAAGTTAAGAAAGTTTGGCTAGCACAAATTTTTAAAATATTTAGATTTTATACCTGTAAAAATGCACTTAGGAAGTTAGCTAATCTCACTGCCATCTTTGCTTCATTTTCAAAAAATTCTTCAGCCCCAAAACTAACATCACCAGGTAAAATAAGATCTTTAGGTTTGTAGCTATAAAAAAAAAAAAAATTATATATATATATATTCAATGAATTATAAATGGATATATTTATATAATAAATAAATGAAATATTTCAAGGGTAAATAAAAATAACTTACGTGTGACAATTACCAGGTTTCACATCAAGAATAAAATTTATTGCTTCATGAACATTAAGAAGTTTTTGATGGACTGGTGAGTTAAAAGGATCTTGTGATTGGTTTCGATAAGCATAAAATAAATCCAAATACTTTTCTCTCATATACTGAGGAGCTTTCTTCCACTTGATAGGCATCTTCTGAACCCCTATAATTAACAATTATAAGTGTAAATAACAAAAATACACCTGCATATTTGAGTATACACTTTTGATAACTTATATAATTCTTTTGAAATTAATAATTATTACTTACAGCCTATTTTAAGGCAGTCAAATCCATTAAAATACTGTTCAGTAGTAGCTCTTTCTAGGATTTCCCCAAGGAAAGGTCGTCGTGTGATAGGTGGAAGCCTCCATCCAGGTTTACATCGACATTGATAACCCCCTCTTCTAAAGCCCCAGCCATGAAGTGGTTCACACTAATAAAAAAAGATTAACACAGTTATAAATATACTAAAAATTAATCACAAGTATGTTATTACTATAATAATAAAAAACAATAATTAAAAATTAAAAACTGACTTCTGTAGTTTCTTTTTTGCATCTTGCAGTATCAGCAAAACGATTTGGCCCATTATTTCCTTCCCCCAAAGGACATTGATTTATATCAATACGATCAAAATCCATTTCAATAACAACTGCTGCTGTATAACTAAAACACATTATATTTTTATAAATAAATAAGACCAAGGCAATAGGTATAATGTTTATTAAAATAAAAAATTACGTTGGATATTCAACATGTCTAAATCCAGTATGACGAGGATATATATCAGCAATTGGAACAGTAGCACCAACAAGCCACTTATTAGCTCGGGAACAATCAAAGTAAGGTCTGGTCCATTTTACTGGGCCAGGATTTTCATCAGCACCTAGAATCATAAATTATAAAAAATAAATTATTTTACTGGCATTTTAATATTAGTTTTGTTTAACAGCAAGAAAAGAAGGTGGACTGAACCTGGAGGACCGTGGAAAGTGAATGTCTCATTTGTGTTATTAGCATAACGGATCTCTACTTGGTAAGTTGTTTTTGTATCATGTCGTCCAACAACATTATCAGGTAACCAGGCAGAATACCTAAACACAATGTTCATTCATAAAGGAGACTGGTCAAATTTTAAATATCTATAAAGTAATCATAAATAGTTTACCATTCATTGATCCGATAAAAGTCAGTCGTGTAATCTAAACTTAGAGTTTCATTTGGGTTAAAGGCTCCTAAATCATTAACAGTAAACATGTTTAGAGTAGATAATTTTTCAACATGAATAGGATCATTGAAGTCATCAGCACTAAAAAATTAAAAATATATTTTTAATGGTACTCGACAAATGATAATAAAGACAGAAACACCAATTCTTAATAGTATAAACATAAGTGGTTACCGAAAAGTTCGAGGTGCAAATCGAGGCAAAGTTTTGTTAAAGAATCCTCTGTAGGAGGGTGTATAGGCAGCATTCGGTGAAAAATATATGGCACTTGCATTTATGTAAGGGTTTGAGGATACATCTGCAACTGTTGACAGAAAGTAATACATCATACCAGGATCATATGTATCATTGATTGCAGGACGTATAAACCTCGCTTGTAAAATATAACTAAAGAAAAAGGATCTACTCAACACTAAATTATGTAAATGTAACAGGGCAGTCCTGTTGGGGAAAATAGGGTTTATATTCAATTCTTTAATATCCGGTAAATGAGAAACTGAATCGCTTGGCAAAAATAAATCGTAAAGATTTTGGAGTTCACAATTAGCGCTCGAGACTCTATCAAGTCTTTTCCTAACTTCATCGAAGGAATCTCTTTGTTGCCATTCATACTGGCAAAGAACACCTATCGTATATAATGTGTATGCCAACCAGATAACACCTATTAAAGTCCTCATTGCAACTTAATTTTAAGAAAATGTTGTTAAATACACTACTGATCACTTAAATTGCAATTAAATAGAACATAACTAACACAGAAGTACAGTCATTACGTTAAGGTTAGCCCACGCCCACCGCACTTTGTTTACATCAAACAAGTAGTTCAGTTTCGCCACCACAGATAGTTGAATTAATTAAAGTTATGTTGTAACTAAAATATCAGTATCGTTACTAATTAAATTTTTAAACAAAACGCAAAAAACTATCGCTTGCTAGTATGGTATAGTTATGTAAACATTTATTTTATTTTGATTGGGCTCGAAATCTTCTATTCTCTATTCAATATGACATTATTTTAATTCTACTGGTGAAGTTATTCTGTTTATTTTTTAGTGTTCATAGTTTCATTCTTTAGGCGAATAACATTTTATTGTATACTGATCACTATTATTAAGTATATAAATATTAGCTTAATAAACTTTAAATTAAATCTCTGTGATGTACTTAGTTGCTTACCTTGAAAACCCGATTATTTTTAATTTTTTTTTTTATTTAATATGTATTAACATTTAAAAAAGGGTGTATATGTTTTCAGTTTAAGAAAATGAGTAATCATATTAATTTATGACTCAGTATCTCATGATAAGTACAGCTTTTGTCAGGAAAAACCGTAAAAAAAAATAATAAGTTACCTATTGCTTATTTTATCGTTGTTATTTAATGACTTAACGCTCATTATTCCATTTTATAAATATTTATTTTCTGATAAACATGTTCTTTATAAATTAACGAATAATATATTATAGGTACCATTAATTTCAATGGACATAAGAATGTTTAAATTGTTTAAACGTTTTGATAAAAATTGATGTTGCAAAAAAAGGCGGGAGTAAAACACTTCTTTTTTTTCCTCTAAATACGATAATGATTGTCTTACTACCTCATGTTTCCTACCCTCATATTGAAAATTAATTTTATTATATTTTAGTAGTTTATTGCAAATTTTTTTTTAGATTGGTTTGTAGATATATGAACCCAATGAATTTCTGTAGTTATTTTAACATGTTTTTAACTTCAGAATTAGGACGATAAAAAATTAATAAATTTATTATAGTTATTGCAGTAAGAATATATCTTATTAAAATAGTGTTATGAATTAAAAGACCGAATGCGCTCACTCCCTAGTTCAGGAATGGAGGGTGCTTTGGGTTCTAGACTATTTTTGCGCGTCGTTCCTCACAAGTATGTGATCACGTTGAATCCGGCCGCCATTTCGCTTTAACTTATTTCATTTTCTTAAATTAATTATAAATTACCGATAATCTTCTAATATTTTGGTACAGTATATGGCCTATTGTTAGCACATGTAAGTAGATAAGTTTTTGAAATTCGTCATCAATTTTATTTCACAAAGAGATGGTTTATTTTTTTTGAGCCAGTAAGGTTTGCTTGTGCAAATTTTATGCCATGAGACAGTGTGCCGGCCGGTAGCTATAGTTATATTTAATCTTTCTTTATTGTGTGTTTAATATTTGTCTCCTTTAACTTAGTCTTTCGTTTTTAAGCTTTTTACTTAACAAGTTGTGTCTTTATCGTTCAACATATGTGCCTTTTCCTTAACCTAACTTTTTGCTAAAAACTTCGTAAAAAGCACACTAATGCCGTAGAACTATTATTTTCCATTTTCATCTAGTTATTTTATTGGTACATTAAAATTAATCCTATCTTGTTTTTTTTTTTGTCTTCAAGTTAAATTTTTATCAGTGCTTATATTATATTTTAAGTAATTAATTTATATTCTATATTAATTTGCCGTTATATGTAAATATGAAAGTTAACATTAAAGATTCTACTCAAAAGGTGTTAACGTTTTTATTCCAAATTTGGTGTGTAATTTGGCAATTTAGTAAATCATTTTCTATACTGTAAATAATATCTGTTTCATTATCATGAGTTGTTTACTTGTTAGTATCTTTTAATTTTAGCCTACATATCTTCATTGTATTTCTGTTATTCTAGCCATGGCAGAAGGAAACGGGGAAGTCACAGTTAAAAATGATGTTTCGGCCTCAGAAGATGAAAATGTGGAAAAAACAGAAGATTATCCTAAGCTTTTGGAATATGGATTAGATGTCAAAGTAGCATCCAAATTAGATGAAATTTATAGATCAGGTTAGTCTGTTAATTGAGTTATTAATTTTAAATTATTAATAAATATTATTATTCAATATCATAATTAGTTTAATTAACTGTTTTGCTAATATTGTCTGGAGGTGGAACTACTTTGATTAGTAAATATTGTGGTCAACTTGTTGCTGGTCAAGTTTTTCATGGACCTATCAACAAGTGATGTGTTTACACTTTTTTTCTGCTTAGTAGGGGGTGTGCACAGCTGTTATGTTTTATTTAAGTTATTTTTTGTTTGACAAATCAAAATCTAGTTTTTAATTCTAACTATGGATTCAGATTTTGGCAAAGGTTAGTTATTCAGTATAACTGTCCTATTTTCTTCTTTTTCATACTATAGCTGATTGTTGTTTTTGAATTCATTTGAAAATATTGCAAAATATGTATATATTTACTTATTTGGCAATATTAATGTTATCCAGAATGGGTTTTATTATACTTAATTTTGTTTCTTATAAATATTTTAATAGTTAGGTTTGTTCTAAATGTGGTTTTGAAGTATTCACTATGTTTCTTGAAATATACTTCTGTTAGATTGATGTTGTCTTGGTTTTTTTTTGTAAGCATTTTGTTTCCTAATCACGAATATTCTTGAATATAACTTATCCTTCTGTTTATAACTTATATCCCTGTTTTGACATTGTTTTGTTTCTACATGTACTTATTTATATTACAAATTCAATCTTTGCTGGATTTATTTGAATGGGATTTATTTATTAGCTTCTCATTTGAATTAAATTTTAATACTGAGAGTATTTTCTTTGTATTTAGAATCGTTTATGAAACTCCATTATTATTTTATTGGTATTACCTTTTCTCTAGATTCTGAATATATCTTAGTTACCTCTCAACTGTTTGCTGTTTTTCTTCTCTTTCTCAAAATTTTTAATTTATATTCCTTTGATTTGATTTTTTTTTTAATAACATTCTATACCAATTATCAACAATTAGCTTCAGAATAATAAATTGATTAATTTTAAATATGTTTTTATTAATAAGTTAATTATTTGCGATTTGATTTTGAATACTAAATTTCTCCAATCATTTGTTTTATAAATTAATGAACTAAAAGCAATTAAATTCAAAAATACGGATTAGCTAGATGATATTGCTCATAATTAGGTATTTTTGAAAAGTTAATTAAAAACTTTAATTTTTTTTTAAATGGGTTGAGTTGATGTGAATTTTGACATATATCAACTCAATTGTTCAATTTTTTTTTTTAATGGTGGATCAGGTTGACCCTAGTTTAAATACGGTGCTATTGGTTTTTTAAATTCTAATTAAGATAATCCAGTAAATTGCTCACTCAGTTGCATTACTTTCATTCTGGTTTCAATTTTTTACTCATTGTGATTATTATGTAATTCTTATGTCATATTGTTTATTTTATCAAGATGCTGTATGTCTTATCGAATATACTTGGCTTGTGTGTTTTTTTTTTTTGTTTTTTTTTTTTTCATGGCTGATCCGTGAGTTAAGTTTCAGGAACAAATTAAAGAGATCGTTCCTAAATTTAAGTTGCTATCAGGAACAAATTAAAGGGATGGTTCCTAAACTTAAGTTGCTAGTGTTACTCAAGATTTTACATGTTTGCTGTTTATTTGTTTGTTTTTACAGTTTCAATTTTTTTTTTCTTTTAAAAAGATATAAATAGTTGAATCCAAAATATTTCTCTGTAACCACCAGTATGCTACCTTACCACGTCTCCCATCACCCTGTTCTGAAGCTTCCTTAGTATGTTTAGCCTGAACATATTAGCCAATATTATTTAATCTTCATCGATTTTTTTTTATTTTGGTTTAAAGGGCAAAAAACTTCTGTGGTTATCATCGCCTGTTTTCTTCATCGATTTGATTTAGTTAGTATAAATGTTTAAATGCTCTACTAAGCTGTTATTATAATTTCTTTTTAAAATTTTGGTTCATAAACAAATATTGGAACTAAAAGTTCAAATAGAATTTCAGCAATTTGGAAGACAAAGTGTTATTTTTTTCTGCTTATGATTCCAATAGTATGCATGATTTAGATTTTTCAAAGCTTTACTTAGCAGGTCAAGAAAGTTAAAGTTTTTAATTATATCTTTTATACATGATATACAACCTTACACTCCCTTAACTGAGTAAATCTATGATATCCTGTGTATGTCTAATTAAAGGAAAACTTAACATAGGAATGGAAATTACTTTCACAGAGATAAACTTTGCAATGATATATTATTACTTTGATAACAAATTAGTATTTTCAAAATATTTAGAAAATAAAACGTTTTGTGTGTTCAACTTGTAGGTAAGCTAGCTCATGCTGATCTCGACGAGAGAGCCTTGGACGCTCTTAAAGAGTTTCCTGTTGAAGGGGCTGTTAATGTGTTATCTCAGTTCCTGGAGTCTAACTTGGAACACGTTTCAAACAAATCCGCTTACCTCTGTGGGGTAATGAAGACGTATCGACAAAAGTCGAGGTCTGGACCCACAGCTCCTACATTAACACAAGCAGCCCCTCCAGCGAAAGGTCCAGATGAGGATAAAATAAAAGTAAGCCTAGTAGATTAAAGTAATTTGATTATTTATTAAGCTTCATTTCTTTTCTTTATTAATTTTGTATTTTATAGGCTATTTTAGAAAGAACTGGTTATACTTTAGATGTAACTACAGGACAACGAAAGTATGGTGGACCTCCACCTAACTGGGAAGGATCCCCTCCCGGACCTGGCTGTGAAGTAAGGATTAATTATTATTATTTTTCTCTTTAAAAAAAAAATTACTTTGTATATATCTAAATACAGTAAATTTATTATCCTATTTGACATATATTGCTAGGTTTTTAATGACTCGTGGCTAGTTGCACCAGTCTTATTTTTAATAAAGATTAGGCTAACGCTGTTTAAATAATGAGCAACAGTTTAATTAGATATGGAGATTCTTCACCACCTATGACTAATATTAAGTTATTACTAAACCAAGTTTTAAGAATCAGGACGTGGATTTTCGTTTAAACTAACAGTAACTCATGCTCAGATCCAGATATTTCTAATTCCTTAATTACTTTATGTAGGCAATTCTTAATTTTGAGAATGTGTATGATCTTGTGAAGGATGCTCACTCCAGACAGAAATTGTTTTATTTGCACTTCTCTTCTTTATTCCTTGACAGTTCATATGCAACTAAAATGATATATTTTAAATATACTAGTAGTTTTTAGTATGAAAATTTGTAAAGTAATTTATATCTCAAGGAAAATATTTTACTATATTAGTTTGAGAGAAGTTACAGTATTTTATAATGGAGTAATTTTATTTTTTCTTGGAGATTTATTCCAAAATTGAGTTTAATCAGTCATCACAACCCGGTTGACTTCCGAAGTGATAACTATTATTTATAAACTAGTTTAAATTATGTTGCTGCAACTGGCCTTAAAGCTAATATTATTCAAATGAAGGCACTGTATGAAAATATTTTGTGTAGGTATTTTGTGGTAAAATTCCTAAAGATATGTTCGAAGACGAATTAATTCTATTATTTGAAAAAAGTGGTAAAATATGGGATCTAAGGTTGATGATGGACCCAATGACTGGAACCAATAGAGGTTATGCCTTTATTACTTATACGACAAAAGATGAAGCCCAACAAGCGACAAAAGATGTAAGTATAATTCTTATATAAGTTAATTTCTATTAATAAGTATCATATAAGTAATTTCAATTGTAATGTGAAAAGGCTTTCTTTCTTTTATAATTTAATTGTTAAGAAGCATTCACCGTTCTGAAGCTCTTACAATTATTTTCAATGTTTTGATCTGAAAATTATTTATTTGTTTAACTATTTAAAAAGTGTTTATTGGTGTATTATGTTTTACTATTTTTGTCTCCATGTATATTGTGTATGCCTTCCTGCATTCTTGTGTTGCATTACTTTTTAGAGATTCCATCTATTTAAGTACCATCTTACCATTGGTATGTGTACCCATTTCAGAAGTACATAAGTTTGATTTCCAACAACATATATTGCATGCATTTAAAATCAATTCTTTCTAACCTTTTATGATTTATCTTCTTCTTTTTTTTTTTTTTTTCCTTTTTTTTATATTATACATATATTTTTGATAAGTTTTTAGAACTTCTTTTTTACATTGGCTGATGTTTTCACATGAAGTTCTAATTCTTTGCATCATTAAAGAATAAATACTTTTTATTTATAAAGGCCTAAAGTTGTTTTTTTTTTTTCGCCCTCTTGCCTTAAAATCATAGAAATTAAAGTTTATTTTTTTAAATGTACATCTTGTTAATGTCTATTTATCTTTGCTCAGGCCAATTGTAGAGTAATTTAAGTAAGTCGTCATTACTTTTGCTTGTTTCTCTTTTCTTTTTTTTTCTTTAAACTATACTTTTTGCCTTGGTTGTTTTCTTTTTCATCTTTTTTTTTTATAAATATTTTTTTCTTACTACCTTCATGAGGAAACAGAAGCATTTTCTGGCTAAAATATTTTGTAAGTACTGTGTAATGGTGGAGGTTTCAATTGTTTTCCAGTACGGACAGTAATGTAGATCTTAATCTAGGTCTCCTCTTTGCTCTCCTCAGAGCAAAATTGGGACCAAATTGGTGGAAATTACTGTCCATAATTTGCTCTTTAATTTTTGGCTTATAAGAGGCAGCTTTTGGCATTAAATTTATATTTATGGGTTAACAGCTGATAGCTTAAACCGTTTATTTTTATTCTTCTGGCTTATCTATTTTACTTTATTTTATGTAAGTTATGGTTAAGTATTTTATTATCGCTGGTAGATTATTTTAGTGCGGTGATATTCTTTGGTTATTAATCATTTTGTTCTGTAGCATGCCTTGCTGCCTCCTTGACTTTGTTTATTTTTAATCTTTATAACTTATCTTTAAATCAAAATTATCTTTATTATATAACCACAAATATTTCGTCCCTACTTTCTTAACATCTAAATTTTTTTTTTTTTTTAATAAAATTCATGTTTTATTATTTTTTGACATTTTGGCATGTTTGTTTTCTAAATCCACAGCTCGATAATCATGAAATCAAACCCGGCAAGCACCTGAAAGTAAACATTAGTGTACCGAATCTGCGACTTTTTGTTGGGAACATACCAAAGTCTAAAGGCAAAGAGGAGATCTTGGACGAGTTTGGTAAATTGACAGGTAAAGTTGTTGCTGAAACAAAATTGAGTACACATAACCAATGAAGCAAATGCAGTAATGACGGCTTTTGACTTTTTAATTTATTATATTTAATTTTTTATCATTTTTTTTTTTTTTTTTTACCTGGTTAGATTTAGCCCTCGTTGCTGGTTTATGTGATTTTTTTTTTTTCTTTTCATTTATAAAATCTTCCCCATTGTTCCTCACGTTTCTCCTTCAAATATTAATCTTAGTAGCAATGGCAAAAGGCATACATTGTAGAAAATTATTAATGAAAGTTATTACAAAATGTTTAATATCTCGGGCTTAACTCGTAATTTTTTTTTTAATTGGCTATCCGTCTTGAACATTCTTATTGCAGCTGAATGATTATGAAATTCGAAAAGGCAAAAAGATTGGCGTAACAGTTTCTTATAACAATCACCGCTTATTTGTTGGCAATATACCAAAGAATCGGGACAGGGATGATCTTTTTGAAGAATTTTCAAAACATGCACGTAAGTTGAATTGCCTCCCCCTTATTTTCCATCACTTGTTTTTTATTCGTTTATAGAGGGCAAAGTATTTTCCCTCATACTCCTCAAATTTTTTCTTGTTTTTTATTTTATAATTTTATCCAATCAAAAAAAACCGCATGTGGGGTGGATTTTTAATATTTGTAATAGATATACTTAGTAGGCATGTTTATGCAATATTCTCTGAAACAACTGAAATTAAAAAAACAAATAATATCAGTTGGATAAACATGTTTACTTATTATACAGTTAAATTATTACTAACATTAAACTTTTATCTTAGTGATAAAAACAATTAGTACACATTCATTAATCAACTTTTAAAGTGGGTTTTAAAAAGAAATTAAATATGTTTCTCTTTACATTTTTTATCTATAATATTAATAATAACTCACCGCTGTGTTGTTTTGATTTAAATGTTTTAGAAAAAGCTTTCGAACAAGCATAATTATGGAACTTGTGGTGGCTGTAAACATTTTCTTGTAATTATTTGTGTCAATAACTAGTGTTAAATGTTGCTTTATTTGTGCAAATATTTTATATTCGATCGAGCATGTAATTTGAAAAACGCTTATTATTCCATCATGTTCATTCCAGATTGGCTTTTTGTTTATTACTTATTCATTATGATGAATATTGATTGATTTGGCTTTCCATTCCATCACAGTTTTATTGTTTTTGTTTGCTTCTATTACTATATAACTACCATTAGTTTTGGGGATCTGTTACAATGCTATTTATAATTTTAACTCATTATAATAATAATGGAAAGCACTATATTCTTTAAATATATCAATATTGCCATAGATAGGAGTAGTTATTTAAATTCCAAGCACTTCCCTTGATCAATCAAAATGACTTTTTTTCTTTCCTTAACCTTAAGTTCTGTTTTTCCTAAATGTTTCTTTTAATTAAAAAGTTTTTCATTTACAACAGCTGGTCTCACTGAAGTGATCATATACAGTTCACCTGATGACAAGAAGAAGAACCGTGGCTTTTGTTTTCTCGAATATGAGTCACACAAAGCCGCCTCATTGGCAAAACGACGGCTTGGCACCGGCCGAATAAAGGTGTGGGGCTGTGACATTATCGTTGATTGGGCTGATCCTCAGGAAGAGCCCGACTCAGAAACGATGGCTAAGGTTTGTATTGACAATAAAACATTTCCTCTTTATCAAAATTCATTGTTATTAATTGTCAAACTGGAGGAATATTTTATATTTTTGTGATAGTATATATATATTTGATAGCAATTAAATTGGAGCTCATATATTTTTTCCTGTATATATATATTTGATAGCAATTAAATTGGAGCTCATATATTTTTTCCTGTTCAGGTTAAGGTACTGTATGTTCGAAATTTGACCCAAGAATGCTCAGAAGAAAAACTCAAAGAAGCATTTGAAGCCTTTGGTAAAGTGGATAGAGTGAAAAAAATTAAAGACTATGCATTCATTCATTTTGATGAGAGAGATCATGCAGTAGCTGTAAGGCCCACTTTATTTGTATTTATTCGTTTAAATTATTGATCTGGAAATATTTTTTCATGATTTATCAATTTTATTGTGTTCAGGCTATGGAAGAATTAAATGGTAAAGATATGGGAGGATCTTGCATAGAAGTGTCCTTAGCAAAACCACCTTCAGACAAAAAAAAGAAAGAAGAAATATTGAGAGCACGAGAACGGCGTATGATGCAAATGATGCAGCTTAGGGGAGGCGGGTATGTGTATTAGCTTTTAATTAATAACAATATTTTATTGTTACTCGCTCACAATGAAATGACAGACTAAGGGTGAACTCATGTGATACCAATCACAAGATCCATTATTTTTCTCATTGTTTTTACTTTCGCTTACCTATATCTGAAATATGTAGTAAGGACAGTAATGTGATTTTGAAAATTTTCGAATCTGAGTTTTCAACGGAAATACATTTTTTGAGGTCTCCTGAATCCAAATTACCAAGTTCCGTAAAACAGGCTGTTATTAATATAATGTAGTTTTATTCTCATTGATGTTCTCTAACAGACCTTTAATGGCTAATTTTCAATATTAGCTTCCTCAAAAGTACTTTTAATTTTTTTTTATTTGAAATAATTAACCATTTCACATTAATCTTTGATATAAGAAATAGTTAAATGTAAAATATGAAAGAATTTAATAATTAACTAAAGGAGAAATAAGAGATCGTAACGGATAATAGTTTTGATGGAGAAACCAAAAGAAATACTAGCACACTCGAAAGATTAAAACAGGCTTCCATAAGTAACATAAGCTCAATATAATATGGACTTTGACAATATTATATACGTATACATAAGCGGTTTTCATAAATGCCTGTTAGTATTATTTAATATTTAATTGTATAAATTACAGCAATATAAAAATTAAAATTTGCATATATTAGGGTGAATAAACAAATAAAAATACCCACAGTGAAATGTAAACAAACATAGCGTCTATAATTTTTACTTTCATTTCCCCTTTGTCTGAAAATACTTATTTCTGCTAAGAAGAGAGTGGTAAGTGAAAGTTGTGTGATGCCCACACCAGATTTTTAATAAAAATATTACAATATCATCTTGCAATAAATAGATGTATATATTTTTTATATTTTTAAAGTATAAATTAAGAAAATTAGTTAATTTCAACTTTGCTCCAAGAAGCGACCCTCAAATATGCTATAAGTCAGGTGTTAACCCCTTAGTTTTAGACCATGTAATAGTCATGTCATTGGATTATGTTCAGTTAGTTTAAAAGAAAGGCAACATTTATTATTTTATGTTATCCACTACTTACTCCATAACCTACATTTGTACATGAACTATAATGAATATGCAAGAGTTGTAATGGATAAAAGACCAAATATAGGGTCTTCTGGAGAGTAGGTATACAAACTTTTCAGTAACTATGTTGACGATTAGTTATTATTAATATGAAATTTAGTCATCATATTTTGACCATAAGTCGGAAAACTGAGTTGTTGCAGCTTTATAAAAAAAAAAAAAAAAGAAGTGTAATTAATGATGGATTTATATTTACAGGAGTTCATTATTTAAAGCTGTTGAATATCTCTATGTTAACCTTCCTTATATCACATTTAAGAGATATTTATAATAATATTTCAAGACAATTTTGAAATTTTTTTCTTAGTTAATTACCATTAATAAATATTAGTTATGACCACTGCAGTTTTTGATTTGTAAAATGTGCACCTATTCTGTGAAAATCTCAAAGTGTTAAATTAAATGGATGCATATAAAGTTTAATTACATTTAAAATTTTCCTAATTCTTGCTGAAGCGTGTGTGATATGGATATGCAACGATTTAGTAAAAATCTGTTGTTCCACTTACTTCTATTTATTTATTTTTTAGTTACAAGGTCAACGGTCTGTTCAATGAGGAATTCATGTTTTATTTTGCATGCTGATTGTAATTCTGTGGTGTTTGCAGGTTCTCTCCTCAGCACCCAAGCATGATGGGTCCTGGCCCACGACCTCTTGCCCGCGCATCAGCTACGTCAATGAGAAGTATGGGTCGCGGTGATTATGGTAAGTCATGAAAACTATTCTTTCCTCCTGCATGACCCCAATCCAATCCTTGATCACGGACGGCTTAGCTTTTTTTTTTTACATATATAACACATTGGAGATAAGATTGCATACATCTCCCATCCGTCCTAAAATACTTTTATTTATTTTGTTTTTTATGCATTAACTTTTTCTGATATCGAAAAAACTTTTAAAGTGTACTATCCTTCTTAATATATCTATATTAGTAAAACATTTATCATATACATGTGTGAAACATATATATGATATAAAGTGAGTTTTAAGTCTACACTGCATGCCTTTTTATGTTTAACTTATTGTATATTAGTAATACTGGGGTAGCTGAGGGACTGGGTTAGTTTTCGGATTGTGAAGGAGTTGATTACCTTAAATGCGATTGTTATGAAATGTTGATTTTGACGGTTTAAGGTGCCCAACTATTATTTAACTATACTGCTGTTAAAAGGTAACTGCACGTGCAAGTATTTGCGATTAATCTCAGTACTCGATTTGTGCGCCTCTTTATTTCCTTTTCACAGCATGTAGTCACACGCATTTTTATTTATTTTCATTTTTTCCCATGGTTAATTTTGGGCCTGCAATGTTTTATTTTTTCATGACATGTTTAGACAGCGTAAGATAGTTAGTTGTTTATTAAAATCATATAACAATGAATGACGTTCCACTTTTTGCTATTAATTAATTTTTTTGGCAACTATTGGAACTGAAATACTTGAAAATTAAAATTATCATTTTGTTTTTGCCTTATAAAACTTAAAGCAGCAATAATGAGGATTGATAAGGTAAGTGCCTTTAATTACAGCTTTCTCTTATAGTGGGTCAAATTTTCTTTCATCTATCCCTCCTCTTCATTAACCCTTCACAACTGATATCTAAATTTTTCTTTCCCGGCATGCAATTATTATTTTAGTAATTTTTTCTTTTTAATTATTTTAGTAGAACTTTATACATTCTAAATTTTAATAATAGCCAATTTATTTCAGAATTTACAAAGTATAGATAAATTTTAAAAAATGAAAAAGAAAGTGTATTTAATCTTTAAGATACCAAAATGGTTATTCGGTGGCTACTACACCTCTAGGTATTGTGATATTGTTGTGTTTTTATAGATTATGATTACGACTATTACGGTTATGGGGATTATCGAGGTGGCTACAGCGATCCATATTATGATGACTATTATCGGTACGAGGATTACTATTATGATTATGCTCCACCTCTACCACCCACATCCCGTGGGCGAGCCAGGCAGCCACAATCGGTGGGTGTGCAACTTTGCTAAATGTCTTTGGTTTGGGCCTCAGCACAGGTCTCTCCTTTCCAATCACTGTTATGTACCATGTATATTCCCATTTTTCATCTTTCACTTTTTTTTTCTTCTAATTTCTTTTTTCATTCATTCTTTTTTTCATACTAACTAATCTCACTAACTATCACCCTCAATTAATAAACAGTTTGTCAATGGAGAAATTGCCAATATTTGCCAAATTTTTATTTATTTATTTTTTACTTTTCCCTGATTTTCTTGAAGACTGTGCTGGTGGACCAAACATGGCATCATATCTGATCTTCGCCGGGAAATCATTTAACTATAGCATATTACTGTTAGAAGTAAAATCATTTTTTCTAATATATATTATCACTATTTACGCATACATATACATTAATTTATATGTATAAAAATTGTGAATTGTGCAATAATGTGGAGTGTTTTTTTTATTTTATTTCTTTTTTTTAATACTTGTCCGGTGTGGGCCTTGCTCTAACCAGTAGCGCTCCCCTTTACAAGTGTTTTTTTTTTAATATTTACCTGTGTTCGGCTCAGATATGATGCCTGTGTTTTTTATGTGCTCTTTCTTTCTCTCTTTCTGTCTGCCTCACATAAAACACTCAACACATTCACTTTCTTCTTTATTTTTTCTTTTCCTTCTTTTCTATCTGTCAAGTTGCAGGGTTATCCAAAAGCTAGGGGCGATGAACGCGAACGCACAATCCCTCGACGCAGTCACAAGCCTACTGCAATACACTAACTACCTAAAACGCACTAGCTGGCTGGCATAACCGATTTGTTTTTCTTTTTATTTCTTTTTTTTGACTAACTACAAGTGTTTCCAACGTTTCATTATTTTTATATGCATTCAAAATGATATTCTCATTATTGTCTTATAATATATATATTTTTTTGTTCTTTGTTTCCTAGAAATAATTTCAATGGCAACAGCTATTTGTGAATAAATTTTTTATATGACCGTCGATAGAGGATTTCTACATATTTTTTTGGAAATATGTAGATTCAGTATGGTCAAGTAAAAATGTTTATTTATTTTATATTTTTTTATGTTTGTGCTTTTTTTTCTTTTGTGTTACACTAAAATTTATTACTAAAAAAAGTTGTTTATTTTGTTGCTTTTATTTATTATTTTTTTCAATTACTTTATTCTGTTGCTTTATTTTATTTTGCTTTTATTAATACGCTAGTAGATTTTATGCTTATATATTTTAATTATTATTGTTATTAAAAGTATCAAAGAGCTTTTGCTTTTATAATAATGTAGTTGCTTTTGGAACCCTGCTTTGTGATGAGACCCATCAACCCTTGCTTTTTATTTTGGATAACCCTGCTACATGCTATATAATAGAATGTGTTTGTTTGATAATTTATATATATATTTTATATGTTTTTAGAAAATATATATATAAAATATATATTTATATTTTGAGGTATTTTGGTAGAAATATATTATTTATAGTTATTAATAATTATTTTCAACTATGGACTGCCCTTTTTACCATGTATTTACTTTTAAATGCTATAGTTCACATATCTCAGAAGGAGAGTCCATATTATTTGTTTATTTTATTTTTATATATTTTGATGGTTTCTACTTACCATACTTGATAACCATAATCAGAAATTACATTTGAGTTGGCATTGAAGCCGAGTTGCTGTTTGCCAAAGATTTAGCTATAATTTAATTTTTTTTTTTTAAACAACAAAAGATTTACAAAAGTAAAGTTGTAGTATTAATGAAATATGACACTTTGATGTTGTCATGATAGGCTATCACGGAGGTCGCTATGGAGAGAGGACAGGCCAGTACGGGCATGAATTCTGGGACCCAGGTTTGTTTATATTTTTTTCTTTATAATTTTTTCACCTCTTATTCATTCTTCTCATTTAATAATTCTAAATAATTTACTTATTTTGATGATCAGTAAAATTCAGGTCATTGCTCATTGTTTATGGACTAGAAATTTGTATTTTTAAGCAAATGGCAACCTGGCTTAAAATATGAGACTTAGAAATTATTATTATTATTATTACATTCAAATTAGTAATTCAGATTTTTTTTTTTTTTTTGATAGTGTTATAGTAATTACTGGTATTTAAACTAATGCCGACTCAAAATGTTTTTTCATTTTACTGGACTTAATTATCTAATAGCAGTACGATAAAAGTTCTGAAAATGTTATAGGCATTTTCCCCCTATCAAGATCTCCTTTAATGAAATCGAAAATGAAACCTGAGTGATTTCACTCATGTGAAGAATCATAGCAAGTTTTGAACAATCTTTAAGGAGTCTTTATTGAAAGGGATCGTTTATCTTAGGGTGTTCTGCTGGATCATAAACTTTCATATAGCAGATTATATTATTTAAAAACAAAAAAAAAAAAAACTTAACAAAAAAAAAACAAAAAAAAAAAAGTGCAATGTTTGAATTTTTCTTCTTGATGAATTGCCAAGTAGTCGGGGGAAGATTTTTGATTCCTGGGGCATGGAAGGATGCCTCAAAGTCGTCGTTCTTCATAACTCATGTATTATGTATTTAAAAATATAATTTTACTTTCGGAAATATTTTGTTTCTTATTATTAATCTTAATTTAGTTCTAAGTTTTAATTACAATTTTTTTATATTAATGAGTGTTTAGTAAAAAATAATGATTACATGTCATGATTTCGTTAAAGTTAATATTGGTTCTAAAAAAGATAATGCCCTTAATGATTTATTTATTTCATGACTTAAGTAAAACTTAATATACATACATCACATCATTTTATTTCCCCACTTTGGGCTATGTGACATTTTGGACCTATTTACAATTATTAAGTTCTTCTAACTTTACAATGTATGAAAACTCAACATCACTAATGGGTTTACTGCCATTCCCAAAGAACTAAAATTGCCCAAAAGGCAATTGTAGGCTTGTCAAAAGCCATTTATACAACAGCCTAAAAATCTTACAAAATTAATCATAGTGATTAATGTCTAAAAATTATTTGTAGCATTCAGCCCACTTTAGGCTGTTAAGCTTGTCTAAGATTATCTAATTCAATTTTTTGTTTTGACAAAAAGTTTTAAAATGCACAATTGTGTAATGATCCATTTAAAAGTTTAGCTAATATACGTTTGCTAATCGATAAATCAATCTATAATTGTATGCACTTTATTACTGTAATATAAACCTATAAACAAAATAAAGAAGTTAATCTTTTTTGAAATTTTATTCTGATTCTAATACATAATCAAAATTCTGAAACATTTTGATACGTAATAAATTGTTAAAGTTTTAGAAGAGAAAATAGGAAAGCATTTTTTAAAAATAATAATATTAAATACATTGATTTAATCAATATGCTCTTAAGAAAGAGAGATGTTTAGAAAATTGATTTAATATAAAAAAGATATAAGACAGTAGTAAAACCAATAGAGTAGATAGTAGACAGTGGAAGTAGTTATGTGGTTTGTTGGTTAAGTTCTGTGTGTTTACATTTAGGAGTGGGAAGGTGTACATTGAGTAATAAACAAAATTCACAACTGTTCTTTTTTTCTATAATATGATATTACAGTAATAAGGATGGATCGTAAACAAATAATACTATATAATTGACACTGACAAACTAAATTATAGGAATCAGAAGCTTGTAATTTAGTGTCTACACATGATCTTAATGATTTGTAGACATAGAAGTAATATAGGACCCTCCTTATGTTATCTCTATATTCCCTAATGAAAACATGACTAATCAGAACAAGTATTTTATTTGAATCTACTAAGAAACTTAATAATATTGATCTTAAAAAACTTTTTGTTTACAATTAAAAATACTTAACATCCTGAAAGAGCTGAACTTAAGTCATTTAAGAAAATTATTTTAAATGTAATTATATTTTATATAAAGTTATAAGGAACTTTGTCAAAATGAGTATTCCCGAAGCTTTTTTACTTACCTATTAGTAGTTAGGTAGTTCCTGAAATATATGATGGCATAGTATATTGGGGTAAGGGGTCTCAGTGTGGTTCAGAGCGTAGTGGATTCACTTCCCATTTAGGTCAGTTAGTATTTATTTCTCAGAAATGTATTTGACATTTCCACTCTGGTTGGTATTCAACCAGTTTTCTTGGTAACCATCAGGGGTTTTAAAAAAGACCACAAGAACCACTTGCCATATTAGCTCTCCCATCTAGTTTCTTGTAAGCCTGTTAGGTTACTTCTATAGAGGATATTATATATCGTAATCATTTACATTGTTTAGAGTAGCATTTAAATAAGAAAATCAAGTACCATTAGATCTGATGAAATAATAAATAAAAAAGAGCTGCAGAGTTCCATTACTGACGTCTTATTTTCTTCTCATTTTTGTTTCGAATCGGAGATTAAAAGTAATTAGCGTCATTAATAGTTACCTTACGAATCAATTATGAATTTTAAAATCGATGATAACTGCTAAATTTCTTTCAGGTGATTTGTATTGAACATCTTAAAATTAGTTTCCGAATTAAATTGATAGAAATGGCAGACCATAGAAAGTTGAGATCCCTAAAGGCATTTCTTCAACACTAACTTAATTTTCATACAAATTTTGATCACTAGCTCAATTTAAGGAGGTGCTATAAAAGTGCCTAAAACTTAAAATCTGTTTAGATGTACTTGATGTTGACGAAATTTAATCAAACTTTGATGGTATGTCTATGCATAGAACACAACCATTTATACTGAATTTGATTTGATACTAGAGGGGCTAAGTTCTGGAACCTGGAAGTTCTGAAAAGTAGTGGGAAGGAAGGAGTATGTACATAAAAAACGGATTGTTCCAAAAAGTCATCAAATGGCATTTCAGAACTTGCGTGAATTTTCTCTTTGTGATATCAGAAAATTAGGCGCTCGTTGGAACTAAATTTGATATAGGAAAGGATTTATGTTATTTAATGCTCTTACAGTGTTAATTTGATTGTTTAATAAGGAAAATAACACATTTTCTTAATGCAGTTTTTTAATCTATAAATACGATCGTAATTCATTAGAACATTCGTGAACATTCATTCGGTTCCATCAAAAATCTACTTAATGATGACTTTTTGTAGTTAATCTACGATAAATGATATCTCTGAAACCACTAATTTTTAGTCTTATTTCATTACCAAAAGTAATTCTTTACATACATATCTTTTAGCCAAAATGTAAAATTAAATGTTTTTTTGGCTAACGTTCAGGAATTTTATTTACAAAGGACAATAGAGATAATTTCTTTATTGGCCACATTTCGTTGTATGTATTTACTGTACCAAATACAATATTATTTATTGTACTAAGGAAACATTGTTTCTTAAAATATGTCTTCGGTTTATTGCAAAAAGAAATAAAGTGTATTTTCGATATAGATATATTTTTATAAATTATTATTTATCTATACAAAAACACTATAAGTCCATGAAAAATACCCTCATACCCTTTTATTTATCATATTTACTTAAACTAAGTGCACAATTTTTTTATATCACAAATGGAAAATTCATTAAAGTTCATAATTATTTGAGGTTACGAAATGTCACTCAATGACATTTTGCAATAAACCAACGATATGTTATTTGTTTATTAAAAATATTTCAGTAAAATTATCTATATTACTAATATATATAAGCAAATGAAAATCAACCTTACTTGGATTGTAGTTAACATCTTGTTCAAAAATGGTTTTATACTTTGTTCAGAAAGCTACACATATGCTCATTGAACCTGGAAGTTCTTTGTTTTATGATAATTCAGCTATCTTATTGTTTCTATTTTGATGGTCTGCATATTACTAATATGCCTATTCCAAAATACCTTGCTTTTGAGGAACAAGAAAAAGTCATACGGTACCAAATCAGGTGAATAAGGAAATTGTTCTTTTATGATTAGTGAATTTAATGGGGGGGAAAGTCACTTAATGTGTCTGCGTGGGCGATTGTCCGATGGAGGAACCCTTTCACTCTACCCCTCTCCTCTTTATGTTAATACATTTGAGGTTTCTGAAAACAGCAATTTACATTAATGGTCTGGCCCATAAGGATCAATGTAGTACTCCCTCCAATGTCATAGGTATAAATAGAAATTATTAGTAATGAGTAATGATTATTACTATTGTTATTTTGGACACAAACATCACCTCCTCTCCGAACAAACTTATTCTACAATTCATTTTCTGATTGACAATATTTCCATTATAATTGTGTATTTAATGGTGTGGAATGGGGGTAATTGAAGAGGAGAACATTATTTTTGCCAAATGAGTGATTTAGAACAAATACAGTACCCTAGAAAGTTGGTCAATTTGAAGCTGATGATATTTGCTGTGCCTCAATATTGCTGCTATACCGACATCCGTTTTTATTTTCCTTTTAAAAGTTTTTAAAGAAAAAATGCATTAAGAAGCAAGTTTCAGCAAAGCAGTCTGGGGTTTGTATTCTGCCTGGAAGACGTCATCAGGTGCAGTGGAAGTAACTATTTGTAGATAATAGTTTATTTGCCATTTCTAAGTAAAGTACGTTTAACTGAAATGATACTACTAAAACATTTAATAACCTTTATCCTACATAGTAAATTTGAAGTATCTACTTCTAATGAATTTTGTCTTCCATTATTATAAATCTATTATCACGGTTAACTTAATATGTATATATTTACAAAATTTCTAATAAAGTTAGTGGATAGAAATTTAAACATTGTTTAATCTTAACAAGAATTTTTTGGTGTTGTCTTTAATTTTTCGGTCGTTATTGCTTATTTATTTTTGAAGAACTTTAAATCTTTGTAAATTTTTGGTGATGGCATTTACATGGCGAAATAAAAAAAAAGAAAATCCCTTAGCCATAACTGTCATTTTAAATAGTTTCTTTTTTCTAAATAAAAGCTAATTTTACTTTTCATTAGAATATCCAAATTAAACTGGTAAAATAACTTTATTAACATGGTATATCAGTTTTCCCATAAACTCATGTGTTTTCAACTTGATATATTTAACTGCTATAAAAAATATTTATAATACTTACTTCATATACAGTGGCACAGATCCCTTTACCAGCTTAAAAGTGATGTATTTAGAAAAATGGGATTTCAAATGAAAGAGAACTTTTTTGAGAAGTGATGAGTTCCAATTTCAATCCTAAAATTTGTACAACTTCAATAGAAACCATTTTAAACAGTAGGTTTTAAAAGTCTTAACTTAATGGATTGAGTTGGGAGCAATTGTGTTTCAATTATAAAATGCTGACATCATAGTATTCTGCAACGCAAATGATATCTCTTAACTGCAACCATATTTATTTTAAATGTGAAGAACTAAGAGTTGGGAATAGTGAATACGTACCCTCAGTTAAAGCCTTTCCTAAATTTTAAAATACATTTCTTATCATTATAATAAAAAAAAAAAAAAGCTACTGCCCTAAAAAACTCAATGAATATTTAGTAATGTTAAACAATTAACCAAAATCAGGGTGTTTTTAATCTTTGTGTAAAAGTATGTCAAATACCTCGAATATTTTTGACATAAAATGATTATAACAATAGTAGGTAGAGTAGGAGATTTAGAATTGCAGGATTATTACACCCTTAATAATAACAGTATATGATCACATTATGAATTTTTTAAAACTGTTTTGTCTAGCATAAATTCCATCCCATAATATTGTTATCAAATAATATTTCTGAAGAAACAAGAAAAACATAAAATCCCAACAGAAAAATATTCCTATTGAAGGAAGTTTATCGACTATTCTACATGTAGTTGATAATATTCAGAATGTAGTCATTATAAAGTTTTTATTGGCGCCGACGTTTCAACCCGAACATGTGGGTCATCATCAGGGTGAGCACTGAATGTATTCAAGTACTCAGTATGACCCACATGTTTGGGTTGAAACATCAGCACCAATAAAAACTTTATAATGACTGCATCCTGAATATTTATCACCCATGAAAATATCCTTAAATTTGTCAACTCTAGAAAGAGAAATGATGATTCATTTGTTCCTCTACATACTTTAGTTCAAGTTCCGTACCTCACATATAACGGATGACCCATAGAACCATTCTTATAGACTAAAAAATACGTCATTGCATAATTTTAGATGATGTCGTCTGAAGTAGAGCAACATATAAACAAAACAATTGAATTGTTTTTATAAATTGAAAACAATCATATGGCACATTGTTATTTTCCTATAGGTAGACCTTTCCCCATTAAACAATCGTTAAGTAGTCATAATTTTCGTTTGTGTTAAAAAAATTCTTCCATTTTTGTTGAACATCATATCTTATTTGCGAATGTTTTTATTGAAGACCATGAAACTGCATTGTTTAAAATTTATAGCTGTTGATGAATTTGATTTCTATACAACGCTGTTAATTTTAGATCACAATTATTTAAAATATTAATATGTATTCTTCATCCATGATCACAATGTTATTTTGATTCCTGTAAATTTTATTATACTATTATTACTATTGATTTGACGAAAAAATTAATTAATGTTTTTATTTATTATTTGGCATTAATAAAAAGCTTATGAACATGAGTATTGAGCATATGAAATGAGATGCTTCTGATATATTACAATACAGTGGGACAGTTTTTTTTCTCATTCCTCCCTCAGAAGACTATCAAGATCTTCTAATGGCCTTTTTTTTTATTAATTTAAGAATGAAGGTGAATCCAGTATATTTTGTTTCAGTTTGGCTTTCGACATTTTCAATTTGCATTTTTTCAAGTTCATAAGATATTAAAATCTTTAATACAATATTTAGTAGGAACATTAATCAATAGTTTCAATATCTTTTGATTAAATTTTTTTTTTCATTTACATATATATATATATATTTTCTTTGTAGTATTTTACTGTTCTATCTCAATTATTTTTTTTATTTAATAACGTTTTAAATAACATACAAGCATGGACTTAATTATTTTCTATATAATAGGGTGGGCGTGGGCGTGGAGCAGCGGCGGCGGGGGGTCGGCGTGGGGGCGGTGGCCCGGCCCGTGGGGGCAGCAGTCGACGCAGCGCAGGTCAGCAGCGTACCAGGCAAGGCAGCAATCAGCGTGGCACTTCTCAACGCGCTCCCACATCCAAACAAAGTTTACCAGGTATAGAGAATATTATATAACCTTTTATTGAAAAAATACCATAAATTTTTGCCTTCATTGTTTATAATAAAAGTTACCTTTTTTTTTTTTTTTTTTTTTGCAAAGACATTTTTTCTCTATGAAAATGGTTAAAATTTCATAATGTTCTAAAATATATACTAGATCATATTGTTTTCATTAATCATAAATTATTGAGTAATTTTTCATCCAAATTATGTACATTGTTTGTTGATACATCTTTAAGCATTAAGATTTAAGTCATAGAAAAGTGCAAAGTGAATAAGTGAGAAACATTCCCCTTTTTCATTCACTTAAGCCATTTGTTAACTGTTTTATTTTATGTTGAAAAGAAAAAAAACTTGTATGAGCCAAAAATTAAAATCTGTATCTTTTACTGCTGAATTAACAATTTTGTTAAAACTTTGTCATAGGTAAGCGCAAGTTGGACGGGGGCACTAACCAGAACCAGGGGGAAACGAAGCGTCGGTACCAGCGAAGCGGCGGCTGGGAACCGCTGGGAGGAGGTGGTTACGGCATGAATGGTGGTGGCGATCAGCAATGGTACCAGGATTCCTACGCCACCTGGAACTAGAACCAGCACCTCCATTCACCTCCCACATTAAAATATTTTAGTTTTATTGTTTTATTTTTTTATTTAAAAACAATTTTGCCCTCTTTTTCGGTCTAAAATTTTTATACTCTCGATTAATTGAGAAAAAAATTAATATTTTTTTGACTTTCTTAAAAATTTATCTTCCCCTTCATTAAGTGCATTTGGCTTTAATTATTTTTGAATATATTGTAATTTTATTCGACTTGAAATGAATTTATATTTAAAGATGAAAAACTTTTAAATAACGTTAAAAAAAAATATGAAGAAAGGAATTATACAACTAATACATTGTTATTTGTAGAGTTATAAAGAATTATATTATACTTGGTACAGATAGTATGGATTATGTAAATTATTACAAGAAGATACATGTGATTAGTCGCTACTTGTACTGTAAACATTCCCCCAATTACATTGGAAGGACCCCCCTAGTTCTGGAGAAAATTACATCAATAGGGGGTATTCCACCCACTGCCTCCCCACTCTGTTATCTGTTATTACAATTATTGTTTACAAATTTGGTTATCGGCTTTTTGGGTTCTCGTTAATACTTTAGGCCCTTTATCCGTTTTATTAATTTTTTTTTTAATATATATTATATGAAATATTGTTTTACAATTCTCTTTATATTTGTAGAATGCAGTTTAGATTAATTTCTCTTCTATATAAGCACATTTGAAATTATCTTTCAGTTTGTTTTAATTATAAGTTGGTTGGCGCAAGAAGTTTACTGTTAACTTGCATATATATATTCTTTTTTTAAGTTGGATGTTTTATGTTATGTATGAACTAATGTCCAGTTTTAATTAAATAAATAAGCATATTTTAATGCTTAATAAAATTATACAATTTGTTTAAATTTATTATTACTACGTTTCTTAAGTGTTATCATGTTATTTATATTGGGGGTAGAGCATAGGCAACGATAACCAGGTTACAATACTTGGTTGGCGACCATTTCTTTAACACTGGGTTTGTTACAATATCTATGTTACTAATATTAAATTTTAGCTTTATATTTTATGACATTGTTTCAAATTTTACATTTAAGGAATTTTGGAATTTTTTTTTAATAAGATTAAAGAAAGATATCCATTAGTTAATTATGCAATCCCATAATTGTCTTGCGTCATACTCTTAGTAACCAGTAGATTTGCTTTTGCTTCTTGATTTTCAGCTTTATTTAAAATTTAAGTATCATTTATTTAGTGTGACAGTTTAGTGTGCAAAAAAAAAAGTTTTTTTTTACCACATCCTTGTTTTTTGAGCTCAATATGGCACCTTTTTTTTACAAAATATTTCCTGAGAAGCCAAATGTATAAAGAATCATGTCTCAATAAACAGTTGTATGTGACCATATTTTATAAAGTGTGTTACCATATTTTTCTTCTTAATTTATCTGTTTTTAATTATTATTTTTCTATGATTTGTTAGCTGATTATTATTAATGATGATACTTTAATTTATTGATTGATTTTTCAATTTGGCCCATATCTGGTTGTTTCCTTTTGCTTATTATATTTTAGTTTTGTTCTGTATGTTGTGATACACTTCATCATTACTGTTAAAACCCTTGGTGTTATCAATAATTAACTGTTTTTATATAAATCATTTGTTGTATCTGATCATTTGATTTCAATTTGTTTGTTCATTATTCATTCTATAAGTCACAGGAAGTTTCTCAGAACTTTTAATGATTTATTTTATTTTATTAGGAAGTATAAAAGTAATAATTCTTGTTTTCAGTGTAGTTTCTAAGGTTAAAACGCAGATAGCCAAAATTGAAAGACATTGAATAATATTAATGTTCACATATTTCAGCTGACATTTTTTTTTTTAATACATGCATGGTAATAATATTTAGCGAAATCTTCACTAATTTTTTTTTTTTTTCTTTTTGTCTTGATTTTTACATTTGGATCAATTTGTAGATCTTGACAAATATTTTAGTGATACCTAATAGCTTTACAAATCATCTTGACTTCTTCAAATGGTGATGCGTTTATTCATTTTTTTCTAAATAATCAGTGAACATGATTAAAAATAATCTAGTACAGAGAAACAAGTTTTAAAATCATATTAAGTTGAGCGTTGTGTTAATCTGTTCTTTTTAAGTTGATAATATTTTGTTTCCTAGTTTTCTTTTACATTTTTACACGTTATTGATTATTTAAAAGCAGTTAACTCCGTTATGCCTACGTACTCTTGAATCTCCATGCGAAAGATCTTGAATCATTTAAGTAGAATACAGTTGCTTTTCAATTTTACAATATCTAAACTATCTGATGGCTTAAATGCCATCAGTTTAATTCAATCAGTAGTACTTATTAAATCAACATAAATTGTTTTAAAAATTTTTAGTTGCATCTATGATTCTGTGACTGATTTTTATAGTTAAAGTTTAATTGTCTGGATTGTTTAAATTATGAAGATTTTCTGTTTTACCGCTGCCATTAAAGCTGCACCATTCAATTTGGTTTTGAAAAGTTAACTTTCTGAATTTAGCCTTAAGTGTCTGCCTGGGTGTTATTCATATCTAGACTTCTTTCAATTTAGATTTGTTTCAAATTCTCTCCACCATTTTGTCTTAATTTAGATACTTATTAGGCATTAAGTTGCGTAATATATAAAACAAAGCAATTGTTATATTTTAATATATAAATGATTTTACATCATGCATTTTCCATTTGGATCTGATAAAAAATGGATATTGAACTTAATTTCTGTTTGTAAAATTTTTGTAATTCATTACAAAGAAAAAAAAATATATAGGCTCCTAATATTCTTATGGATTTCTCTTTTCAGTTATGTCCGAATCATATGAAAATTAAAGTTGGCATAACCAATGAACTTGTGTGTGATTTTAGTTGTATATTTTAGGTTTTTTGTTTAGTCATTTTTAGATTGGAACTGGTTAATTTATACTAGATCTGATTGTAATGAATGTTATGACAACTTACAATTTCCCTTTTTTTTTATTATTATTATTATTTTAAACTAGAAATTTTCAGTTAGTTGCCTTATTTGTTGACTTGATCTATCCTCCTCCCCACCCCCTTTATGATATTTAATTTAATTAAGTTTTAATGTAATGATAAAAGTTTTATTTTAGTTAAACTATTATAAAAATTAAATTTGCCTTTTAGAATAAAATTCATGTGAAAAGGAGTATAATATATTTATAAATCAATTGTATAAATACATGGTAATGTTTTGTATATAGTTAATATGTCTTGATGTAAATTTTGACAACAGTATTGAGTGTTAAGTTAATGTTTTGTAAAAATAAAATGTGGTCTTGATTTTAATAAAACGAATAATCTAGATATGAATAATTTCCTCGTAGGACATTAGGTTCCTTTTTGTTCAAACTTTATGGGTAATATATTGTTTTGAACACAATGATAATGTATTATCTTGAAGCAGATAATATTGATTCTATTTTGATTAACCAATTTAAATGACGACGTGGTGTTTCATGTTTGAGTTGTGTCTGCCAGAAAACTTAGAAGTTCAAGTAAATAGTTGTTAATGTTATTATTAAGGTAAGTAAATCTATAATTATTTATTCTTGTAGTGGGGTATTGTACCCCTTTGTTTGGGAACGTGGGCTTCTCCACTTGGGATTTTGAAAGAAGGTCTGAGCAGATTTTTAAAACATTTAAATTGTTAGTAAACTTAAAAATGATGGATGATGCTGTGAATAAAGTATTGTACTTAGTACTCAGCCAATGGCGAGGTGTCTACTATTTGCATTTTAATTTTGTGTTAGATCAGAAATAAAATTAATTAGAATTGTTTTAAATAATAGCCATGTTACAGAAAATGGCTTTTACTCAGCTGTAAAAATGACTTGTTAGTCTTTAATATTAGGCACTACTCAATTCTCTAATGTTCATCAATAATATCCGCAAAGTTTAAGAAATCAAAAACACTTTCTTGAATCATTCTTTTCTATATGTATTAAATTATACAAATGATAATAAAAGAATGAAACCAATTTATATTATTAACAAGGTAAGTAATATCTATTATTTTCTGAAGTACATAATGGAGATCAATTCTGGGTATGAACATTTTATTTTTATTAGGGAAATAGGAGTATGAAGGCTCTCAACTAATAAGCTATACTTTCTTGCTTAAGAGAGAGATGACAAAAATTGTCTCTCAGATTCTGTACAGACAGTGTGATTACATTTAACAAAGTACAAAAAGAGCAGAGCTTGATGGGCATGAGATGAGATAATAATTTCGCAGTGGTTATTTTTTGCTCTTGTTTACTCAAGCAGAGAATAATATAATTAAAATCTTAGTGTTTTTTGTGTGCTGTAATGTGGGTAGGCTGTCATTCTACTGTCTAAAGTTGGGTCTAGGTAATGTTCTTAGTTTGAGGATATGTTCATTCCAGAGGTAAATGAGAATTGTGATTAAATATTTTTTTAAATATACAGTTTGCACTAGAAGCGTAGCGCCTGTGAATTTGTAATATGTGTGAGACGTAATTGCATTCTTTGTCCTTCTAATATTAGTATCGTCTGCATAATGCTGTCAAAGTCATATTAATGACGAGTTAGTCGTGAATGTATGCTATGCATGGAGTGGTGCAAGAATTGCTCCTTGATGGACTTCGGCCATCTGGAACTTCCAGATACTATCTTTCAATACCATACTGAAAGGAAGTACATTTTTCAAATTATAAGAGAAACCTTTGGTGCCACAAGACCCTGATAAATTAGTGGCATATATCTTTTGTTCTAGTGCTATTGCTATGAAATCTGTAATCAAGGGCTCCAGGAACAAGTGTTCCTGGACTCCCATCAAATGTAAAACTCACCACAGAAAACCAATCTCTTCATTTATAATGTAATCAAAATTATTTTTAAACACTTGATAACTTAAAGCTATTTATTGATCAATTATCAACTTCAGATTAGAATTGTCAGTCCCGATTCTATAACTTTGTATGATAAAATTGGAAGAACAAAATCGAAATCACTCATCATGATTTCCATAATTAGCAAAATGTTTTAACCCAGTTTATAATATGACTAATACAGCTACAGAAATCCTTAACTGGATGGTGTTGGTCTCTTGGCTTTTGCTATTATCTTCTGATACTTCATTAAACTCTTAATTCAACAACCTTTTAATTCTTGTCAATTTATCTTTTTTTTGTCATAATTATATATATTATTTAATTATGTTTATTGATAAGTGTGCTTAGTTATTTAATAGGATGCTATATTGTTTGACTTAAACATCCATAAAATAATCCACCACTTGTAAATGAGTCTGTTTTGTATTAAAAATTCCAAACATATTATGATCTTAATTCTGATTTAAATACTGTGTTGTTAATACGTTTTATATGAAAACATTCAGCACCATTGACATAGGTAACTTTGGGGGGTTAATCTAATAAAGTATATTCAAAGGATGTCAGTTCTTAAAGAATCTTTAAATTGTTTCTGGCATTTGCTGTGGTGAAAGGAATGGCACTTTAAAACACGCCTTTCAAGTTAAATATACTTGTAATTTATAGTTATTATTTAAGAATTGATAACAAAGAAATTAATAAAACAACAATAATTTATTAAAATAATTTATCAAATATTTAACTATTTTAAATTAAGTTCCTTCCATTTCAACTTCTACTGTGGGATCAACGTCATTCTGGGCAACTTCTGTTTCAGAAACGTCCTTGGTTTTTTCCGTAGGCTGACATGTTTGGTTATCTTCAGCAACAAGCATTTCCTGATCAGTACATTCACTTACACTTCTGTTTTTGTTTGTTCTCTTGCTCTGAGGTGGTTTGTAATTTATTAGAAATGATTTACTAAATCTTCTGATGTTAAACTGATTTAGGAAACCCATTTCGCCGTCCCATTCTCGGAACATTTTTAACTGCTTTTTGTTTAGTACATCAACCATTTCTGGAACAAAAAAAGATTATAATAAAAAATATTGATAACATCTGTTTGGAAATGTTTTTTCAAAGAAACTAAAACAATTTATAAAAATAGAGACAACTGAAAATCATTGTTAAGCACATTGAAAATACTTCAGAGATGGGTATATGGTTATGATTGTTGAAATTATAAGGATTAAAAACTGTCAGGATGTGCAGTAACAAATTTCATAGAGTTTGCCGACATTTCGACCCAAACATGTGAGTCATCATCAGGGAAGTGGTTTGAAGGCTGAAACTAGGTTCTTGTGGATCCTTTAAACCACTGCCCTAATGATGACCCCGATGTTTGTTGAAACATCGGCAAACACAATAATGAAAATTTTTACTGAACATTAAGATAAATTTTCATCCTCATATTGAAAATAGGTAAACAATTTAAAAACTATTGATAAACCCTTTATTTCAGACATAGATCTTTCTTTTGTTATACATGAACATTTCTCACATTTCCTTTTATCATTTTACAAGATAATAATGTTTACCTTTTTGCTTGCTTTCATGTTGTTTTTTTTCTAGCATTAATATATTTTTTAGAGTTATTCCTATCACTTTATGGGTTTAAAATATTTAAGTTAGCCTGTTTTCCATATAGCATATTATTTGCCACATTTTGGGAGCTCCAAAAAAAAAAAAAAATAAAAAAAAATCATTCCAAATCATGGATTATAAGAACAAAATTTCTATATGGAATAATTCTTTTTTAGTCTTTTGAAGTGGATGACTTGGGAACAATCTAAGACAAAGTAAATAAAAATAATTAAACTTAATCATGGACATTAAATAAATAATAAAGGATCAGTTTTTAGTTTAAGTAGTATGTGTCTTCAAGATTTAAAAAAGAATTTAACTGTGACGACCTGTAATAATCAGAATTACTTGAGTAACCATAATTTTTATTACCACAACCTTCAGAAAAGTAAGGAAAAAAGTTATGAAGAAAAGGAAACTTTAATTGTGTACAACTCAAAAATTTGATTGATTTCTTAATTCCCAAAAAAATTATAAAAAATCTAATCAATCTATTTTTAGTAAAGATAAAGCCAATAGTCATTTGTACACATATTTTGGCTCATTGTTTTAAACTCAAATTAATTCTTCCCTTTTATGATACTTTGCATTTACTTATTTATAAAATTATATTATCATTTATGACCAATATACTATATAAATTATTTGCCCATGTCAACTAGCTATTAAAGAATGGCTGCACGGAATCAAGATAAATGACGGATCTTACTTTAGGTGGATGGCTGTGACTCCTCATGCTGTAGAGCCATGGAAAAATAACTAGTAATTAAAAATTGCAAATAAGGTTTCATTGTGTATTGTTAATTTATATATTTTGTAGGAGATTTATCAAAGTGAATAAATACCATGTTTATGTTATATTCATTTTATCAATATATTTATTTTATCTATAATTTATCCTATGCCCTAATCTCAATAAGTTGGACACTGCGGAAGTCGGCTCATTATTGTCTAAATAGGCAGGTAAAAAAGTTAAAAAAATATACAAATCACATACCAATACCACAGGTATTGTATTCTTCAAAATCTCTTTTTATTGTCATTTTTATTACATCCTCCCTGCTGGCATGCTGTCGATTTTGTCTTTGTCCTATGGAATGTTTTATAGCTATTTGCTCAAGTTCCTCATCAAATCGGGATAAATATCTGTAGAAACAATCAAAGAAAAAAATGATATGATTAAATTTACAGTTAAGTTCTACTTGAAATTATTATAATGATCCAGCAAACTTGCTATTGACTGGGAAAAGAAAGTTGAGAGGGCCAAGGGAAGCTTCAGGCACCTGTCGAAATGGTAAATAAAATAAAGATAATGGATTTATGAAATAACCATGGAAAAGTTTTATCAGGTAACAAATAGATAAGAATGGCTTTTTTATTTCTAAATCTTTGCACACTAAAATGCACTATTAAACCCTTTTTAATTACAAAAATTACTCAGAAACCTCTTAGAAAAGAAAAATCTTGCAATAATGGTAAAAAAAAACTAGAAGTTAATTTAAAACATTTAAAAATCGCATACTTCTGAAAAAGTTTCTCCAGCATAGAAGCTGTGTACTCTTCCACTGGCTCGATATTGTCATGAAACCATAAAAGTTTTTCTCCAAATAAATTCCTTTTAATAGCATACTCCATCTTAGTTTTTTGTCGAGTTGAATTCCTGAAAAACAAAAAAGGTTTTATAATATTTATAAACAATATATTACAAATTGATTTTTCAATATTTTAAAAAGAGGAAGAGTTCATATTTGTATCAGATATATAGTTTTATTTCTTATTATGGATTATTCTTGAAAGAAATGAATTCTCAGAGTTTCTCTATACGCAATGAAAGTTTCTCAGAATGCAGTGATGTCAAAAATATATATAACAGCTGTCATTCACACATATTTTAAAAGTTAGGGCAGAATAAGTAATCAGATTACATTGACATGTATTATATGGAATGACATCCCTACAATATATGTATGAAAATAAGTTCCACCACCAATCTTAAAAAATAAAAAGTCAAATAAAAAATCATCTAAAACCAGATAAAATCTTCACATTTCATAATTGATATTTCACAGAATAATATATTTTTAAGATTTCTCCATCTAATAAAAAGAATTTAAAGTATCTTCAATGCTAATGATTTATAAATATGATGTAGTTAAATGGCAAAACAACATACTTCTTTGTATTTAAGCTAAAATAGTATTTTAATAAATAAGACCACAATAAACAAGCAAATAACAATACATACTTTATTATTTGTTTTGATAATGCCTTTGCTTTTCTGCTGTTAGGATGTGATATTGTCAAAGCTTTAGATTCGCCTTTCTTCAATAACTTGCTTTTCCCCTAAAAGAGAAAGAAAGATAAAATAAAATAGAAATAAATACATCACTTATATAAATAAAATATGAGTTTGGATTAGATAGATACCATTTTTATTGTTTGAAACAATAACCTATCCCTGGGTTTTCACGTGGTCAACGAAATGAGCAAAGAGGTACTATTCAAGGTGGGAATTTAGTGAGCAAACTTTTTCATATTTATACAAACCGTTTACGATCCCGGTCGTAATTTCATGGCATTCGCCAAATCATCTAACTTTTTAAATAGTTTCAATAATATTTGCAGTTGTAATGTGAGAATAGAAATATATATATATATATATATATATATATATATATATATATATATATATATGTAATTACATAGAAAGAAAAAACCAAATCTGGAGAAAAGAAAAAATAACACAAGTTCGAAAAGAAAAAGCACGATTTTTTATGTTAAAAACATAACCAATTGGCTAACTTAATCAAAACTAACTTAATACAAATTGTAAAGGTGCGTTTAGACATTTCACAAACTATGGAATTAACAAATATATAAATGGTTATATTATATGCTAGTATTTCTGTTTCTTGTTTTTGATATTTTTCATTTGCTTTTATTTTTCATTGCTTTTAGTATCAAGAGAAATAAAATAAATAGCTTGGTTTAGCAATAATGTCGCTGTTATTTAAGTTGGATAACTGTGTTTCTTATTGCTCGTCAAATGTCCAAACGTACCTTAACAGTATATACAGTAATTTAAAATAATAATAAAAATAACATTAAAATAAAATAAATTCATATGACTTTCCGCACAGCACTCAGTACAAAATCCAATACGAAAACAGTTTGTTGTATCTTACTTATTACTGATATGACTTCTGGGCACTGTTCGTATATAGACAAACATATATCCATAGTCGAACTCCTATAAAACAAACAAAAAAGTAACATTCATAACCTCCAATAGCGGCAAGGAAAAGTAAAAAGAAAAAAAAAAAAAAAGGTTTATCACACTAAAGCCTTATCCTAAAGCATCTTATTTAAAACAAACAGTTCGAGAAGTTCCTAAGCTATGTGCTAAGCTCATGTCATCATTTTTCTTAGTTTAAAGACGGACCCGACGCCATCGATCAAACCAATCCCTGTGTTTTGGAACTTGCTCTGCTTACCGTTTGCTTTAACTTGCCTATTTGTGGACAGGTTTTTATTAATACAGATGATATAACACCAGATTTTATTGTGATGTTAAGTGATAATCAAACTTAATATTTTCTTGACTTTCTTGGAAATCCGGTTTTACAAATGATGTATTGAAGCTAATATGGATTTAAATCTTGATGAAGTGGAGCTTTCTGGTGTTTTAATGCAGGACAATCAAGTGGATTCCGTTGCTAAACTTTAAACATAATGAACGATCCAATGTTAAGATTTATTTTATGAATGCTTTGAGGCTAGAAATAATCAAGTACAATAGCCTCGGGGCGTCCGTTGGAGGAGCTGATCATTAGGAGCGCTCGCCACTTGTTAAAAATTCAAGAATAATACATATAAAACATAATTTTATTTTAATTAATTTTAGTCCATTACTAAAACAACTGTATTTGAGATATATTGATGAAATAAAATTCAAATATTTCATAAGACAGTTTGGGAATTTAATTTATTTTTTTTTAGAGGGGAGATAACATCATTGCCCGGCGGCGCCAAATGTTTAAGGCCTGCATTAGAAATAATATTTCCGCTAGTTGTATATGATGATCTAAGCAAAGATGAAATGGAATGAGCTAAAAAGTAGAAATCTGATAGAAATAAGACTTTTCAGAAGCATTATGTATTCTTTTTATTTTATATTTGTCCCTGATTCGTGATGCACCCCTGCCCACGCGACAGCCCTGCATTTAAATACCTCAGAAATATATTTTTTTCTTTAGCATAGCGAAGATAAGGTACATGTTCCAAATCTCTGGTACCCCTTCCTGCTCCCATATTATCTTGATCAGTTGTAGTGTTTTGGCTCTTAGGCCTTCTTAATAGCTCTGATTGTAGTTGTCCATTCTTGAGTGCCTTTCGACAGTTATTTCTCATCCATTTTATCTGTTTTTTCAACTTCTTGTTTTCTTCGTCCGTGAGTTCCCATTAATTTATAAGCGTTAGAAATGTAGTTTCCAGATGGTTGATATTTTTTCTTTTGATGTCGTCTGAATGAATACGCACATATCTCCAGGCTGCTAGTTGTCCTCAATGATTTACAACCTTTTTTTGTGGAATTATCTTCTTTTTTTTCTGGTGGCTGTGTAATTGCACAGAGTAGCTTAACTAACTAAACTAACCTATATACTAAACTATATTCAAATCAATGATTTCATACCTTCTTCTCTCTATGACCCCATGTTCTGTGGATTATTTTCAATTTCTTGTAGAAATTGATTCTAAGCAGAATGTAATACGAATCAAAATCTGCTCCACGATAGCTTATTATGTCCAACGTATTATAAAACTAACAGAAGTGCTATTCTTACGCATGGGTATCTGAGAAATAAGCATCATGAACCTCGAACTTCCAGTTTGAACCATTCTTATTTTATACAAAAAGATATTTCCAAACTGAAATGTTAAAAAATAAATATTTAAAAAACTAAGGAGAAGAAACGGATGTTTCCTTTGATTTGTGTCCAAATAATGACAATAGAATGAGTTGGGCAGGAATTCACAGAAGGTTCCATCAGCTAATCCAAATGTCCATCCAAAGGCTTGCACTCATGGTCACTCGTCATTATTTGGCAAGCGACTGGATGCACCGCAAGACCAGGTTGCTTGGTATTCTATTAGGTTCTATTATTTTACTCTTGTTAACATCAACATCACTATTTAATATTGCAAGTTATCTGATTATTTTAAAAAGACAATTTGAGTTGAGTTAAGGTAACAATATTCTTTAATTTGAATGAAGTTTTTCTAGTTATAAGATAGAAATAGATTGTTTATCAAGTAATATATAACTTATTGTCTTTTATTTATGACGATTGCTGAAAGTCATGAAAAACAGTGTGGTTCTTCGTTTCTAAAGCATATATATATTACTGTTTTGCGTTTCTTGAGAATTAAAATGAATTCATTATTGTGTAAAATTTCCAGTTATATGCAAACAAACAAAAAATTAATGCTATACAAATCACTAGATAAAGAAATTTAATTTCATTCGGGAAAGTTGCTGTTTGTTTTTTTTATCCACGTAGTTATTTCTTAATTCAATTAAAGTTATGTAAGTTAGTGATACAGTCACTTATTAAAGTCTGTTGCCAAAGCTATGTTTGAGAATCTTACTTTCATAAAATCATAATGTATTAATTTATTTTGCTAATTTAATATGATATTAATATATAGTGATCCATTCATATTAAACTACTCTACAAAATAGGTTTCTAAGTTACAGTTTTCATAATTAAGTTATTTGGCATGAGACTTACTTTTTTATTGTTCTATTTTCGTACTTATTAAGCCGAGGTTGCTAAAACATTATATAACTAACGAAGTCGTAGGCGACATTTAGAAGACATTTCAATCTCCTAAAAAGAACTATCGTTCAGTATATTATAGGTCATAAAGCACTAAAATATTTATGGGATGTGGATTCCTACGTCGAAAGGATAATTATCTTAAATTATATCTTCCTGCTCTTGGCTAAATCTTAGATTGGCAGATGCTATTATATACATCAGAAAAAAATAATAATAAAAATAAAGCGGTACCATTCACAAATCATAAGGGTCTTGGGTTGTACTATTTGATGGTCAACAGTTGTGCAAGGAGGTGATTTGACCGAGATCACGTTCAATTGCCATGTTTCCCCCCTTAATTTGGAGTACACATTTTATAGAGGATGGATGTGCCCGCAGGAGGGTCTCCCCCAACATTGAAGGCCTTGAGCATTGAAAGTCCTTGTCTAACCCATTGAGTTACCCCGTGCCTATATCCAGTAGACATTGGAAAAAAAGTTATTTATTTTTATTTAATATACTTTTCAAAAATTATACTGTTCTATGAAAAGCTACCCTGATCAAGAGAACTTTATTTAATATTTGTATAATGTCCTTTGAGACAGATCGTAATATTTTTCAATAAATAAGTTTTAAAAAAAATGTATAAATAAGATCATGATTGAAATATTCTAAAACACACGCTTAAGTCTCTAAAATAGCAGTTAGTATCAAACTTTTTTCTTCCAATCAGATGCTATCAAGACCGTAAATTATAGAATTACATTAATACACACTAGATATATCTTACTAAAATTGACTAAATAACAATATAGTACAATACTTCCTGATTCAAATAACTCAAAAATTTCTAATATCGAAAGATAAATGATTAAACCCATATTATCCAAGAGAGAAGCCCAGCCTCAAATCTCAAACCTAGGGCTGTTTCGGTATCGGGTAATTTCCGTATTCTTTATTTATGTCGATATCGGTAGTTGGTATCCTTATTAGTATAATATATAATGCAAATATCGATATTGCCAATATCGAATGGTATATATGTATATATATATATCAAAATGAAATTTTCGACATGCTTAACAAATATATCGTTAGTTTCTTTCAAAAAGTCATTAAGTAACTTTTCAGAACATTAAATCACTGAGAACATAGATGAATTTTCTCATTGTGAAATCATGAAATTGTACGCTTGTTGTGACTATATTCACTAGCGGATCCAGGATTCAATTTTGGGGGCGGCTTCATCCCGGAAGCTCTTTTTTTCTTATATATGACGATAATTACTTTGGAAAAACAGAAAGATACTAACTACCTATATGAAATGGTGTTTGAGTGATTCTTGAAGTCTTATTAAATGTAATTGAACGAGCAATAATACTTTAAGACATAATTTTTTAATATATTTGACCATAAAACATGGTTACATTTTACCATTTTGGGGGGCTCCAGACCGAAAGCCCCCACCCCTCCGTAAATCCGCCTGTGACTATATTTGATATATAAAAGGGTTTGTTCCATTTTAATGCACTGACTGTTCTTTTTAACAATAAATTAGGATAAAACTCATAAAAAATTTATATTCAGTTCCAAAATTGCACTTGGTAAATTTTTGCAATAACCCTACGATATGAGCAGTTTATTTTGATAGTATTGCAATTCTAATTTATAATATATGAAGATATATTGGTATTTATATTTGAATGGTTAAAAAAACAGGCATAGTAGTAAATACGTTCATTTTCTGTTTTCTAAACATTCAATTAATTTATTTTTATAACATGATCGAAAAAGAAAATATAGAATTCTTTGTTTCAATACGATATATATATCGTAAGAAAAATATCGATATTTATTATATTATTGAAACATCCATACTCAGATCACACCAGTAGACATAGTAAGTAATATTACGAAATGTGGTAGGGAACAGAACTGGACGGTTTCATGTAGAACTTAGCCGGTATCTGACGTTCGTTCAAAAATATTAGTCCTGATTCAATGTCTGTATGACTGTTAGGAAAGCTGTG